GAGTGTACAGCATGACAAACCAATGACTCCCTACAGCTGGAAACACTTACTGCAATCTACATGCCTTGCTCTCGACCGTTGGCAACCTACGATCTCAGCTTAACAAGGGCAACGGTCATCTCCACTACGGAGGCCAGTTGTCATCGTCGTTTCTTTTTCTGTGTCTTCCCGGCCAGTTATCTATCCACAGGTGGTCGACGTCCCAACTTGCCCGAGTCAGGTGTATATTGCCAAAAGAACCAACAAACTAGTAGATATTCCGCGTATTTTCTAGAGGGAAAAGAATTACAGCGTAGAGAACCGGTGTGAGCAGTAGAAGAGGTACGTCCAGTGGCAGAGGCAAAGCAATAAATTAAGGGGTACGTAGCTTATCAAGCTCCATCTCGCTTTTTTGGAGGTAGTTGGGAAATTGCCTGGTGCCCAATTGCTGCAGCGACTGTACCTGACACCTTGCGCGGTACGAAATACGGTACAAGGCTTTGAGCGAGCCGAGCCGATTGCGTACTGCACGTATCGAATACTAGTAATAATAAGTAACCATCTATGGAAATCACCTGAGGGGCAATCAAAGTGAACGTAACATGTGCATCAAAATTCATAAATGACCGACGTTGTAATACACTCCTACATTTGTCATACCTCATATCCTGGTCGAAGGATATAAACTACCTGCATATAATCAAGTGAAGATCACACAGTGTATTTATAGTTGAAACACCAATATTAAGTGCTTCTAATATCCCCCCCTCATAAAACCAACAATCTCCTGATTATTTGCCGGACGCATCGTCATATATTGGAGATTCGCTCATCCCCACTGCCGACAGACACGCACTGGCACCCCAAACAAATTCCCAAGTCTCAAATATCTTGCCACTACGTCCAATCATCTCGGCCGATTACGTTGCCCTCATTTTCTGCGACCCAGACGCCCATGTACTGCACCAAACACGAACAAGGGTACCTGCATTTCAGATACGCTTACGGAGTACATACGCGGCCAACTCGCATCAAGTCCACCAGCGTTTCGATCTCCAGGCTTGCTGCCCTCCTCCGTACCGGGTGGCAGCCCAACATCTTCCCACTGTGGCAGGCGGACTCTCTCGCACTTGGTTCCTGGCAAGCATTCAGTATCAAGAGCTTCCTTGCCCTTGCTACGCTTTCCTCACGCACATATACATGTATATACGGACCCTCACCTCTCGCTTTGACTATCCCTAGCCTCGCCATGTTCCTACCTGCATAAGCGGTGGGGGTGGATACTTTTACATTTTGGTAAACCTCTTTTTCTATTCATTATTCTCGTGCAAGCCTTGGGCTTATGGAGGGGGTACTTATCTGACGTAAAGTAGAATACATCCAGCCAGTAACAAGCTAGCCGTTATATAGCATTTTTACAAGAAAGGAATGTTTAGTGCGAGGTAGAAATCAGTTTCAAAATGTAGAATAAGGACACAGCGAAGTCCCGTGCACCATGCACATATATGTATAACTATTCAACTTGAGTAGCAGGCCTGGATCGTGTCTGGCTTCTACTGAAGTCGCACCCCACCGGGTTCCAAGCACAGGGCGCTTAGGTAGTTGGCGAATGGCGCTCGCCACACCTGTGCATCAGACCAAGCGCGATTCCTTACTAGAGATTTGGAGTTGAGGGGACTTTCTCCAATAATACCAATCAATTAGTTCAAGCTAAACAGCACCATCGCCCTGGCTTCTACACGTATTGGTGCCTTTAAATGGCATTTCTCTAGTCAGGCGCTCATAAGAAGGAGTCCTCAACCATAATCCAAAGAACAAAGTGTTATTATCTACCATTCAATGGCAATGACCCATATTGCGAGCTCTAACAACTTCATCATCTACCATCTATTCATTCATGCCATTCCGTATGTCTATCAAAGATTTATGCCCTGAATGTTATCAAGTAACAGCTCCGAAAAAGTTGCTAATACATCGCTGCTGGATTCTCCAGCCTTGGCCTCGAAGATCAAGTCCTGGATCGTCTTGATACCGATTCCAACCTTGTCCGATCCCGTACGCTGCCGTACCAAATTAACCACCTGGTCGATATCATTAGAATTGAAGACACGTGATTCCTGCAAGACAGTAGCGAGCTCTTCGGCGTCAGCAACAGCTGGGACTGCGACCCTCTTTGCAAAATCGGTGTCGATTTCGAGCATTTTGAGTACGGCAGCTTTGGATGTGGTTACGAAAACGAGGAGGCGGTGATTCTAGAGCACGTGTGAGTAGAGATTCTCTCAACTGGTCAAAGGGGAAAGCATACTCTAGGAGGCTTGGAAACAATGAGGGTAGTGAGAGCCTCCAACATAACGTTGGAGAAACGAGGCCCGATGGGGTTCCAGCCGATCAGACGCTCAAAGTCATCGAGGATGAGAATTGAGGCAGGTGACTTGTAGGCATCCGCGAATGCTTTGTGGACATAATCCTTCTTGGCAAAGTCGTCTCTGTACCCAACAAGATCTGCCGGCGTAACCAACTTGACGAAGGGAAAGTCGGACTGCATGGCAATATGGGCTGCAAGAGCAGTCTTTCCTGCGCCTTTGGGACCGTGGAAGAGTACAGAGGTGCTGAATTTGTTGGGGTCATTTTTGATCATACCCACTACCCGCATCATCTCGTCGATAGTCGAGCCGATGTATCGACTGAACCGAATGATTCCCAGACCGATAGCATCTTCAAGCTCTGCCTCCGACACACCATATGCCGGCTTTACTTCTGTTAATGCCAGCATGAAATCCGCGCGGTTGACTTTCATGCTGGCAACGTCCTGTTTGACAGCAGCCATTTGACCGACTTCTGTGTGGCGCGAAAATGCAAATGATGCTGCGGCTTTGACAACACCATTAATCTCGGCACCTGAGTAGTTCTTGGTCATGCTTGCGAGTTCCTTTAGGTCGACGTCGGAATCAAGAATGTTGTTCTCCCTCATTTTAGCAGTGTGGATGTTAAAGATGTCAAACCGACCCTCCTCATCCGGTAAAGAAATTTCAATATGGACTTCCAAACGACCAGGTCGCATGAGCGCATCATCAATCATGTCCTTTCGATTGGTCATTCCTATAAGCAGAATATTGTTCAGCTGGTCGACACCGTCAAGCTTGGAAAGCAGCTGGTTCACCACACTGTCACCAACGCCAGTACCTCCTCCCGCGCCCGATCCACGCTGTTTGCATACGGCGTCGAGTTCGTCAAAAATGATGATGTGAAGACTACTTTCTTCGGCCTTTTCTTTGTACTCCTTCTCGGCATCCGCAAATAGCTTTCGAATATTTTCTTCAGACTGTCCCACGTACTTGTTCAGAACTTCAGGCCCATTGATGACTTTTGGCGGACGTGCGTTGAGCATTTTGCCGATTTGGCGGGCAATGAGGGTCTTGCCGGTACCGGGAGGACCGTAAAGCAACATTCCTTTGACATGTGGGATGCCCATCTTGGCCACGAGGCCGGGAGGGAACACACGAGAGGCGAAAGCTCGACGAAAGATGGTGGAGAATTCGTCACCCAAACCACCAATACCCATGTCCTCAAACTTGAAATCTGGAGCCAAAATGGCATTGGAGTTGGGCTTGCTCATAGATGGCTTCATGTGGAAATCACTTCTACCATCACGATGGAACAACACTCTTGTTTGACTGGTGAGAATACCTCTCGCATGTCCTTCTCGGAAGACTTGCTTGCTGGGGTCATCTGAGGACATGGCAAGGTCCACAAGCCCGACTGTCTTGACAACAATCAACAGTGGAATATTGCGGACATCCATTAGAATTCTCTGTCCGGGGGCCAGAACTTGGTTTGCGTAGGTGTCAGAGAATTGCGCTGCCAGATGATCCTCATCGTAAGGGACGTCTGTTCTCTTGTTGGGTGATGCGAAGCCGACTTCTAGATCAACGGATCCCAAATACGCCCTCCCTCCTTGAGCAAAGGGATCATATAGTTCTCCGGTGAATGTGTCGCGAATGGTGATATTACACCAAGAACGCTGAGGGTCGGAGAGACTAATGCCACCTTGAGGAAAGCCGGGTACAGGCCTTGCTGTGATGACGAATTCTCCTTCTGGCTGGCCACCTCGCACGAGGATATAGAGGTCGGTACCGTCTCGATTCGGTGGGAAGTCCTCCGGCGCAACGGCGCATCTATAGCCCAACAGTTAGTTGAAAGCCCAGAGCGTTGACGCAGATCGGCCATATCATGATAGCTTACATATTGCCGTAAATCAGGCGAGACTGCAAAGTTCTGTCGGCAACCTTCTCAACTCTCAGGGTGACCCTTCTAGCACCGGACGGCCCAGACGGCCCTTTCTCTGAGTATCTCGGCATTCCAGGCGATTGGGGACCAGACCCTTGGCTCATGCGAGGATCACCATAACCTTGAGGCGGCCCATAGCCTTGAGATGGATCCACGCCGTACGAGCTTCCTGGCGGCGGTCGTCCTTGATTTGGGGGCATTCGAGGGTTGCTGCCTGGTAACGAAGGAGCGTAAGGCAGTCTGCCGGGACCGCCTGGGGGTACTCTAGACATTGCGGGTGACTTGTGCCTCGAGGTTGTTGATCTATCGATTTGTTGCAAGAGGAGAGTTCGCGTGGGTGTAGTAAGAGAAGAAATACACAAAAGTGAGGACAAACGGCAGGCAACGTGGTCATAAGTTGTGGCAATGAATGCCTGGAGGGTTGGGAGCGTTTAGCTGCTACCTCAGAACTGGAGGGGCGTTGACAGCGAGTCTCAGGGTGGTTTCATGGGACAGTGCTCAATGGGGCTTAGTGCATTATGTCACAGCGCGTCTCCGGAGTAATTGTGGAACATTTGAACCGGCCGCAGTAGCTTTGAGCTGCTAGTCGTCGGCCTGGAATCATTTTTGAATGAAAATATAGTCCAGGATTTGTGAGATATCCTTGAACTTCATGCTCTCATTTGCGTGTATCTGGCGGCAATTTCTTCGAGTTCTCACTCCCATGCTTGGAGATCTCCCATCACCATTCCATCATGCCCTTGTAAGAAAACACCCCGGCCTGCAGAGTCTCGGAGACGTAACTAACTTTCAATAGACATCTCTTGGGGAAGAAGTCCTGGAACGTCTATAATGCCGACAACATTGCGAGAGTGCGCCGCGACGAGGCCGCGGCTAGGGCAGCAGAAGAAGCAGAGGAGCAGCGCATGCAAGAAATCGACGCGCAGCGCCGCTTGGCTATACTCAGAGGCGAAGTACCGCCACCATTAGAAGACGATGCACAAAATGACCTGGATGTACCGCGAAAATCAAGCAGACAGAGTGACCCAAATCGTCATGGGGACACGCGGCGAAAACGAAAGCGCCATGGCGAGGATGACACCGACTTCGAACTACGTGTAGCGAAGGAGAGGACAGACCTCGCAAGCAGATCGCTGGAACTGTCTCGACAACCAACGAGCTCGGCGCCGATTGTGGACCACCGCGGACATATTGATCTGTTTGGCGACGAGAAGACTAGGGCACACGGCGAAAAGAACCCAGAAGCAGAGAGGGAAGCGCAAAAGAAGAGGCGGGAATATGAAGACCAATATACCATGCGCTTTTCCAACGCGGCTGGCAAGCATGGAACTAACAGTCCGTGGTACTCCCAAGCAGACACCGCCAGGCAGGATGCGCCGCTGAAAGATGTCTGGGGTAACGACGATCCAAGACGGAGGGAGAGAGATGCGAATCGAATAGTCGCCAGCGATCCCCTTGCCATGATGAAAAAGGGCGCCTCACGAGTGAGAGAGTTGAAACAGGAGCGGAAGAAGTTTCAGGAAGAGCGGGAGGAGGAGATGCGTCAGATGCGAAAAGACGAACGGCAAAGGGAGAGGCACAGGCAGAGAGACGAGCGAGTATCAAGACGGCGGAGCGCATCACCAAAGTCTAAGAGCAGACGGCACCGGTCTAGGGACACCCGAGACGACAGCTATGATAGAGACTGGGACAGGGGGAGAAGAAGGGACAGAGATCAAGCGCGGTCACATCGCCGCGACTCCCGTTCTCGCGAGAAGGTCTCTCGTCACCGCCGTCATGATTAACGAGTCAAAGAGCTGGAACATGGATACCCGTATTGATTTTCCTACATAGATATACCTAGTATCAACACATCAATTACCAGCCCGTAATAATCAACCACTCCAGTTAGCAATTCCAAACTCTTTCCGCTCTTCTTCAATTTTGCACCCGCGGGAGCTTAATCTCAACAGCCCTCATATACTTCTCAGTCATGTCCACAATCTCCTTGGCATCCATCTTCTTCAGCGCCTCCTCGATCCTCGAATAAGTCTCCTCGCTCAGGCCCTCCTCGGAATCACAATACACATCCACGCCTTCCCTTGTAAACACGGTCGGAGCAAACCAAGTCACCGCCCACCTCTCCTTCTTCCCCTCCGCGTTCGTGGCCTCGCCCCAGCCAAGCAACTCCCAATGACTCGACACGAAGAACAGCCAGCCTTTCCCCCTCCAGTCCCACCCTCCGTCTGCGGACTGAGTATCAATCCCCGCGACTGTCTTGAGAACACCCGACGACTTGGTAGGCTCGTATTCCACCAGGTCGTCGATGCGCAATTTGCCGTCGTGCTTGGAAGGGAGAGGCTTGTACGTGATGCGGACGTTGCGAGCAGACCGCCACATGTGAAGCGTGGAGTGGGTAACGGTCCATGTTGTGGCGAGCCATTTGATATCTGGAGCGGGTGACTTGTTCGACGCGCTCGGGTACTTGGATATGTATTTTGATGGGAGGGCCAGCGACAAGGGGGTTTGTTCGGCCATGGCGCTTGTGCTGGTTGTGAGATGAGGTTGTTGTCAATTGAGAGAGGTTTCCTGTGTCAGACCATGCCCCTGGTTATGTGAATGTCTTAAACAGAGGGATTGGATATAATACTGAGCAGAGAGAGGAACGCTCCAGGAAGAAGGGCGGTTTATCAAAAGAATGAGATATGTTTGCGACACATTCAAGTCGTGTCGTCGCAACTAAGGTCTAGTTCGTACCAACCACCGGAATCCCACAGATTCGAGGTATAATCCGGTGACTTGGTTGGGTAAGTTAACTAGTCACTGCAACCCGACGCCATGTGCCGCCCGCCGTTGGTCTACCTAGGTGTGTAGTGCCAGTCCCATAGCCAGATATATAGCAACCAGATTGCTACTATTATATCTCAGCTGTATCTGTCAATGATGATACCCTGATGCTCACCTCGTTACGGAGCACGAAGCACAACTATTCATGTTTTGCTGTGCGGGGTGGCTACACACATAAAATGTACAGACTCCGTCCTTTATGCAGGTATAGTCCCGACCCGCTGTCTTTGGCACCTTGACCACCCCAACCACCCTTCAGAAGCCCACAAGCATTGACAAAGCACATCCCAAGCCCTCCCGGCGCCCGAGATGCAAGCTTCGCCCGCCTCCACCCCCGGATCGTGAATTGAATCGGGAGCCAGGCACTGTCTAACATCCCTGCTCACGATACCGCCAGCATTCCGGGCCGTCAGCGCTCTCCGTACGCTCGGAAGTGTCTGTAGGGCCATCTCGAACGCTAGGGGGATAAAGACTTGTGGCAACGCGACGATGCTCATACAGGGCTTGGAAACGGAGCACTTTTTTTACTGAACAAGACGTTGGGTTGAATCCTAATAGCCATAGCTTGGCGGTCGGCACTTAGTGCTGGCGTTTGGGTCCGGCGAGATGTTCGAGGGTAGATAGGCGAGTTGGACTGAGATTTGGCCTGAACCCAGCTCGTGTGTTGAGAGCACCTTGTTGACGCCGTAGACTCTCTGTGGTATCTGGCGTTTAAAAACCTTTGAGTGTACAGAATGAGGTGTGAGTCAAAATGGCTGAGTCTACATGTACCATGGTAAAACTTGGCCAAATTTTTTCGGAAAAACCCCAAGAAGCAGTTATGCAGAATAGTTACAACCGTCCTGGACCTGGCTTGCGGCGCCCCAGGTGCCTGGTCCTAGGACCAAGGGCCCGCTACATTCCGCCCAGTGCCACCCAATGAGGCCGTCGACCCCCAACCCACCCCCAAGGCCCCGAATCAAAGCAACCGTCCATCCAAAACCACGTCACGACACCTCCTCCATCTTCCCTTTCGACAACCTCACACTTGCAGTCAAGAACATCCAGCTCCATCACGCGCTCAAACTCACACGCTCCGGAACGGCTCCTCACACACAGATGGATCCAGGAGCAGACGTCGACGCAGCCGCCATGGCCGCCGCCATGGGCTTCTCAACCTTTGGTGCGCAGGACCGCCCCCAGAAGAAGAGGCGATATAATCCGGCCGTGGACACAGTCACGTCAGTCGCACAGCCTTTGTCTGGTCCCCAAGCTGCCCCAACGGGATCCAATTCAACGCCGCTGGGAAACCACAGCAGCATGTCGAAAGGGGAACCAGGGGCGCAAGCAAATGCAGATGAGATCGACTTGGACGACGAAAAAGACCGACATGAGAGCACGCCCCAAGAGCGCTCTGGAGAGACGGCACCCCAAGCACATCCCCTTCATCACGGCTTACCAGCCCGTCCTGCCCCGGGAACAGACTCTGCCGGATCACCAATGCAGTCTCCAGGTCGTCATGGTGTGTCGCAAACGGGAGGCTCAACAGTCTGGTACGAGGGCTACTACGATAGCACGTCGAATGAGAATCCATGGGAACGCCTTGAAAGGAGGATGGGTCTTGAGTCAATGGGCACTTGGGTTGCCAGACAAGCACATCCAGCACCTGGTGTTTGACCGACGCGGCATGTTGTTGGTGCCGATGCTATCACCAGCAAGAGTTGGACGAGAGAGATCACAAATGGACTGTCTCATTACGTTGCTTTGCTCCAAAGGATTGGAATACGAAAATCTTTGAACAAGCTTTTGCCTTGTCAAGGCCTGGAGAACGAAGCGACAGAAGCTTGATTTCCAGGCGGTCACGTGACCCACCCAACTACAACAGCTTCCTAGTCCAGGAACGGTCTCGACAAATCCGTCATGTGCCAGGGCCAATCACATGATATTCATGTCTCCGGGGCTTCTACAACGATATGCCTTCATCGTTGATGCTTATGCGACTTTCATTGGAGGACGGACCTGTCTTGGCACTGACACATGGTCGGCGAGGAGCCTGAGATTCAGTCGATCCATTGTACGCTATGGGAGAGTCTTGCTATGGAGACACTCATCTAGGACACACTATGTACTGCTGCAAGGTACAGAAGTATGAAAAGATTGTTGTCTTCACGGCCGTTGCCAGGAGGAGCAGCATACACCACAATAGGAAAGGTCCCTGTCCACCAGTCACAACTTTCACCCTCTGTGCCGGCCCTCGTGATCTCAGATTCTCTATTCGGGACATTTTCGGCCATCATCGTTCTTTCTCATCACACTACGGCACCCGACCAGCTGGAACCGATCTGCTGGGTTAGCAGGGCCCCCTTGTAGCGCCCTGCCGTTCCGTTTTCAGTCCACACGCCCAGGCGCCAGAATAGATGCCGGTTCCCACCAGACGCAAGAGAGCGAGGTGTACCTGGTTTTGCAAGATGCCAAAATCCGACCCCAACTCCCATCCAATCATAACTCGTAAAATTCGTGAAATAGCCACCGTTCAACCCCCCGCACGCCCTATCGCTGTGGAGAGGACAGAAAGTCGGCGCCTAATTGCCGCTCGGGGCCAGGGGGACTCATTAAAAGCAGCAAGGGATCGCGCGCCAATGCAATGCAAGATTGCCGCGCTGTCGCCGCAATTTTAACATCATCTGATACAGGAATATCCTGATAAGGTACTATGTGTAAACGCCATGGCGCGCATAGTACATAAACCCTCCTTGTAGCTATCATACGTAGAAACGCCGTGTAAATATCTTTTTGCTGAATTTGCCGCTAGACCAAGGAGAGAGATATGTCGGAAGGTAAAATGGCTCTTTGATCGCTTCAAACTATAATGAAAATCGCACACCGCAGAGCATAGAAAATGAAAAAAAGGCCATGTCCTTTAATAGTCGGGAGAAGGATATCGCTCGCGAGCCTTACGATACTCCTTGGGGTGCTTACGAGAAGCTTTGGCTTGCAGTGATCTGAGATGAGAAATTTGTCAGTTAGCTTCACAAGCTGCTTGAAACGAAGCGCCTACAGAAGCAACGCTGGCTCGTGGGGGTAAAGACACAAAGACAGGCGAGGGGCCTTGTCTCATTTCCCGAGGCGGCGGGCGTCGCTACGTCATGAGGACTTTGTCCAAGGCAAAGTTGAGCATGCACTTACGAGACTTTTTTCTGTGTCCACTCCAAATCTCCCCGCACCTCGCGGGCGTCTCGCATTCCGTCTTGGAATCGCTCCCTCGTCTTGGCGAGACGAGCCTGTGCCTGCTTTTGCAGGTCCATGAGTTCGCGGTGCTTTGCATTCAACTTTCCGGAGCTGATTACGCCCAGTTAGCGTTGTAAACAAATACATGTAAAAGCTCTATGTTTGTAGTCCCTGATGTCGCCGTGCTGGGACGGACTACCCATTCAGGTTTACAAAAAAAGCCGTCATCCGGGGTTCGCGGGGCAAATCACTTACGTTTGCGCTTGAACCGCCATGCTACGGTCGAGTGGGATGGGATTGAACGAATTTGCGAAACGATCTTGCATGTACTCCTGGAAATCAATGCCACTAGCCGAGTTGGCGCTGTCATAGTCGTTTGAGCCCATGTAACTAGCAGAACCCGTGCATCCACTGTTACTGTAGGATGGAACGCCCGACGCAGAACTCATGTCGTCGTCGCATTCCGGGGGAGACATCGAGTAATGAGTGTACGTGGGATATTGGTTGCCCTTTCCCGGAACCGCCATTGGCATCGAGTAGGACACTGTTGGAAATGGGCCGGACATGGTCGGTGTGTTGATGGAGGCCTTGATCTGTGGTCTTTTAATATTGGCACGAAGCTGCAAGCTGTGGATGTGTGACAACTAGAAACTCAGTTCCGAGCAAGAACTGGAATGACGATATGACGATGATATTGCGACAAGGGGTGATGTTGTGAATGGCTGTGATGTTACACTTGATAGTAGGGTTGTGCAGACACACAAAACAGTGGGAGTTGGTTGGCGATGATGAGACTTTGCAAGGAAGAACAAGACTTGCTTGGGAGACGTATGAGAAGAGAATAAAACAAGAGGAAGAAGGAAATGGACTCATCCTGAACACAGGAGGCCCTTTTATAGTTTTCCCGGACCCTCCCCGGTCACTATGCTCCAACTGAAGCAGACAGGACAACATTCATCTATTCGTTAGAACGATTATCACCATACCCCGCTTGAAAGGATACTGGACAAGTATCATCTGAGGGCATTGGAGCCGCCGACGAGGTGATCATGGCGGGCGTGCATGATGCGGACCAACGACGAGACGGCAAGGTCGTGAAGGTGGAGCGATATCCTCGAACAGCGTAGCTTTTTCGCGGCCTTGCCATCAGGCATGGTACAGTACTTGGGAACACTGATGAACCAACGACCTCGGGGACCAGCAGCCGACATGGACACGTCGGACCATCAAGGGGACGAGGAGGGTGGGAATAAGCAGGCATTGACCAACGGAGACACGAACGTGCGCCTGCGGTGCAAATTCCTCCAAGCTTCAATGGGCGTGGGATTTACATTTTAGTCCGGCAACACCAACGACAAGGAGACTGCATATGCCGAGGGGCAAAAGGACCACTTTATTGACCACGGATCGGCGGAGACTGGCCGTTTCCAAGAACATATGAAGGGGAAAACGTGCTCCCACGGAGACTAGAAGCCAGCAGTACGGAGCACCCAGGTACTGCACATACCTCACATGTAGTACTCACTTACTTGGAGGTCAACTGGTAGTAGAAATGTACGGAGTGTTCATGGTGGGATACAATCAGTTGCAGAGAAACACGGCAAGCACGGAGACGCGGCCCACCGAAACTCATAAAATTGGCTGGTGATGTGACAAAGACTTATCTATCAAGCCAAATGAAGTGGTGGCTGCACTAGCAGACGGGGTTTCCAATCACCCCAAAGCCAAGCAGGGAAAAGCCATGATCAGAGACGAAGGGCTCAAGGAGATCAAGGAGATGGTCCGAGAAGCAGGTGACAGACAGACGGCAATAAAGTGACCGAAGGCTGTGTTTGTGTTTGGTCTCTTTCGTACGAAGGTGGACGTGAAAAAGTGAACCAAAAAAAAAAAAAAAAAAAAAAAAAAAAAAAAAAAAAAAAAAAAAAAAAAAAAAAAAAAAAAAAAAAAAAAAGCCCAGGGCGGCATGTACAATCGAGCTGGTGTGTGGCAAGTAGACCAATACCAAGGCAGCCAGAGCAGCAAAAAGGCCAACTTGGGACGTACATGGAGGACCAAAGGGGGAGGAAGGAGATGGAGTCGTGAAGTGAGTGCGTGCGTGTTGCTATCCAGTGTCGCACCCGAAACAAGCGCGACAAGGCCAGCTTGGTTCAAAACAGCCAAAAGCAGCACTGGATTTCCTAGCAGCATAACGTGGGCGTTGGGCGTTGGCTCCATGCCATCGATGGCATCGACAACGCCATCAATAATGATGGTACACACCCTCGGGACCCACGCTGGCAGCCGCATATTGTCCACCAAGTGGTTTGGATGCGCAAGTGAAGAGTGGATGACATGGCCCAGAATTGGCCACAGAGCACTCGAACGAGGTTCAGGCACATGTGCGTTGAATCGGACAAGCCGTCGTGCTGTGGATGATGATGCGTTGTCAAGATAACAACCACATAACTCTCCGAAAGCCAGCAACCCGGGGCGCTTATGTGTGACGAGGCTGCGGCCTGCTGCTTGCTGGGGCTGGGGCTGGGGCTGGTGCTGACGCTGCGGCTGCGGCTCCACGATGTGCCCTCAACAAGTGCTGCCCTGCCAGGCGTGTCTAGCAAAGTCAAGTTGCATTGAAATATGACGGAGTCTATCCGTATTGACGTCTGGTATTTTGCTCTGCGAAGACTGCCGACTGCCCTGCTACAGGAACCTTTTTGCAGGTGGACACGTCCCCAGCTTCTCCCAAGACACCTGCTTAGCAAATACAGCCATCAATGCTGAAACGGAAGGTCAACGTCTGTATCGAACAAGCTGCAGTAACTAACTGCACGGTTGACGCTTTGGGCAATCGTCATCTCGCTGCTTCCGCTGTGCATCATAAAACCATTTGATCCTTGACAAGTACCTGTGTATGTACGTACGTACAGATGGCACCGACATTGCACATCAAGCTTCCCATACTCAAGCATCCGAATGTAATGACCCTGCTCCTTGTTAATCACCAAACTCCAGACATCTTCGGTACTTTGCTCACCAGCTCAACGATCTATCCTGGGGATGTAGGGTGAGGCCCCTTCATTCTGCCAACTGGCTGCTGCCCACCCACCTCCGCCAATTTTCCACTGGTCTATTGGGAAATAATCGGAGATCCCGGGGTCATGGAAGCAGCAATTGAGCTAACCCTGCGACCAAGACTTTTTGCCAACTTGATTGGCTGATGCGTGCTTGGAAACCTGAGAAGGCATGGCAAAATGTTTTCTGCGAGTTCTTCGATCCGCCCCTCCCCCGCTGCCAAACAATGAGAGGGAGGGGAAAAAGAGAAAAGCCAACGATCTTGTGTTCTCACCACGACATACTAAGACACCGTCGGGTTGTCATTCACTTACACCCGATTAGTCGGATAGAGAAAAAAAATCCCTTGGACGACTTGGGGATAGGATATACCTACCGAGTCTCTGGCGCACATGGCAGGGGTCCATGTAGGGGTGTGTAAGTCCATAACATCACCAGACTTCTCTTTCGTGCTCAATCCATCCATCCACTCATGAAGCAACTAGCCGCGACGCCCCAGCTCATGCAGAAATCGCTATAGCAATGGATACTCATGAGCGAGCATGCGGGCCACAGTGTTTTTTTCCCCATCGACTTGGACCAGTACACCCAGTGAGAAACATCTCATAGACCCTTCTCGTGCTTGTGATGCCGGAGACCCCTTATCGACACTTTGGCAAAAGCTACATGTGGCGTATTCGAGAGACCAATAAGTTGCATCGCCCTCCTAACAAACTGAAATTGACCCAATCTGACCCCCCAATTGCGACAGAGGACACTGACGCACCCCATAATCTCTGAAAATACATGTGTGGTAAGGGACCTTCAGAATGTCTTGAGCATTGGTTGGCTGGGAACGAGGAAACAAGCCATCATATTCCAAGAATTCGGTTCGCCAGGCCGACGAGCGACTGATGGAAACCACAAGCCTGTGCGGCACAAGGGTTGACGTGATGGGATGTATCCCGAGGGACAACACAGCAGCAGGGTCAGGGCTCGGAAGTGGAAATTCTGAATGGCACGGTGTGGACGCACACGCCTCCTCCCAGCGAAGAGGGACAACTCATGCATGGAAGAAAGAACTCCTGCAAGAACTTGATGATGGGGCATCTTCTCACAGGGCAGGACTTGCGGCGAGACAAATCTTTACCAACTTCTAGACTCCGTGAGGTCTATTGCATATACCTATTGGGTGGGATAAAACAATGCACCATGCGAGTTGGCTACCTTCTCTGTTAGTTTTGATTCCGGGGAGTGAAGTTGACAGGGAGGAGGAGTGTAAAAGTGCCCGTGACACCGCCTTACCGCTACTTGGGACATCCCTGCCCCAGCCATACAAGCTTGGCATGCATAGTCGAACGTGTCCTGGTGGACAGCACAGGGAAAAGGCTGATTGCTGGCTGCCCATTGTTGAAGGGCGATGTGCTTTTCGAGGGGGAGGGGGTGGGCGAAACGGAACATTCGTGTTCACCCGAAGAATCAGTGAGGTCACTGAAGATGCTTGAAAATGGAAACGATGGATTCCAGACCCCAAAGCACGAGCACTATACCAGCGCCAGCTCGGTAGAGTTGGCTCTCGCAGCATACTGCCCGTCATTCATGCAGTTCACCACGCACTCCTGGCGTCTGCTGCATGGTGACTTTCAAGTTTAGGACTGAAGTTACAAGATTGCCTAGCACAAACGAGAGTCGGTCTTCTTGAAGGCGATAAGACTCTGATGAAAGGATGGGTTTGTCCCATGCAGCAGTTATTCACGGTGTTCCTACGATACGACTTCTGATGGTCTCTTAGCTGAACGATTAGTCTGTGTATATAAAGAAATCTGTCTACAGATAAAGTAGGTCTGGTCTTTCCATATCTCAAACTTCATAGTATCCGCCAAGCCATAATCAGACGTATCCTGATTCGTCTCCCGTTTGACGGTTCCCCAGTCCCCCGGCAAACATCCAAAGACCCCAAAACGCCGGCCATGTCCATGTGCACAAGCCCCAGAATCTTGGTCATTTAGAAACAAAAAGAAAAACATCTAGTGGAGTGAAGTGGACAAGTAGATGTTCACAGATAGGTGCCGAATGTAACGGCAAAAATACACTGAAGAAAGACCGCTTAAGCGAAAAGCCTCAGGAAACCCCAGATGCCAATGCCGCTGAGGACGGGTATGGTTAGGTTATCGTCCCAGCCAAAAATATCAATCACTTCACTGGCAGAAGCAACAAAACCAGACCACAAGCTCATGATGGACAAGGCCAAAGTGCCCGACACGGTAGCTGCAGCCCGAGACACACCGAGAGCGCTCGTCACGGCAGACGGGAGCGAGAGGGTCCCCTTGAACATGAAGTTCTCGTCCCCAGGCATGGGCCCGATAACGGGGACCAACCAGCCATAAAAGAAGAATGACGTAGCCACGCCGACCAAGAAGGCGGCAAAGGAACCGGCCAGCGACTTGCCACGACGAATCCGAGGTGTATGGCGGCCCCAAAGGCGCCCAAACGTACTGGCGGCCGTGTCGCACCAGCTCAACAGCAAAACACTCATGACACCCACGTCCTTGGGGAGAAAGTACAAGACAGCCCAGGCGCCAAGTAGGTAGAATATGACGCCATTGTATCCCGAGTACTCGCTCTCGCGCATGAGCGCACCCAAAAGGCGCACGTACAGTCTGTTCACCGCCGTGTATCGGTGTCGAAGCCAGTCTGTCGTAGCAATGGGAATCAGTCCGGCCATGAGATACGGGGGAACAGACTGCGTCTGCGTCCCCGTCGTGTACAGCCACACCACAAAGAAGCCTATCGAGACGTGGAGGGCTTTGCGAGGCACCTCGTGTTTGTGGACGAATGTCCGCCAGTGTCGGTGGATGGGGATGAGGCCGAGAGGGCTGGGACTGCGACTAAAGTCCCGCCAGGACCAGCCCGAGGGCGTGGCAGGCTGGGGAGGGGCCAGGTGCCCATTCGAAGTAGATATCTTGCCATTTGTGACGACCTTTTCAGAAGGCTCCTTGGACAAAGGTTTCATGGCAAGGTTGGAGCTGCTCGGTGTCATGCGGGCCACTGTTCGAGAATCGATCGGCGATCTACTTCTCGTGCGGGACCTTCGCAGGCCGGGAACCTCATCGTCAACATCGTCTTCTTGGGGATGTTCGTCTTGCGAGTGCTGAGAGGACGCTATTCTTCTCCGGGCCGCCGAGCGGGTCGTGGGTGCCGAGTAGCCCGCGTCGAGCTCCGAGGGGTCGGGACTCGGCGAGATGACGCGAGGTGTGTCGGGGACAGACGGCGCTGCCTTGCGACGCAGAGACATGGTGAAGGATACCGGGGGCAGGGCAGGGCAGCGAACGGCCCCGACGACAACGCGATGAAGCGATTCGTGGTGAGAGGGCCAAAGATGCTGTTGGGCTGGACCGGCAGCGGCCGCAGGCGAAGCAGCAGCAGCAGCAGCAGCAGCAGCAGCAGCAGCAGCAGCAGCAGCAGCAGCAGCAGCAGCAGCAGCAGCAGCAGCAGCAGCAGCAGCAGCAGCAGCAGAGGAGTCGAGAGTCGAATCGGTGTATTTATCGAGGCGCGACCGTCGCGCCGGAGATGTTGGCGTAGGCTCCGAGCCTTGTGTCGGAGCAACGACGGCGGACTGGCTATGAAGCGTCGAGTGTCCTTGCTGAGGGGAGCTGGCGGACTCTATCGGATCCAGTGTGAAGTCCAGAGATGCAGCAGAGGGAGCGTCCCCTACTGCACGATGACGAGCTTGAGGAGTGGCGGCGGCCGGAATGGGACAGCGCGCGCATGAAGGTCTGGGGAGGGAAGGCGAGAGAGAGAAGGATGAGAGAGCCGTGACAGAGGAAGCCTTGGGAACCACGGGACACGTCGTCTTTTTTTTGTGACGCAGAGACGGGATGGAGGTGTTGGCAGACGGAGGCCGACGGGGGTGGGAAATTTTGCACACCCAAGCTGCTGCAGCGCGGCGGAACAGACGGGGCCTACAGGCTTGCCGTCCCCGGTCAGAGTCATGGGTCGGGCATGTGATTACAGAGCACGAAGTGGTACGATGGTCATGGCCGTTTACGAGAGGGCTTTCTTTTGTGCTCCTGTCTATCGTTGTGTTTGATTACGCATATGGTGTGTGTATGATGGTGATGAGACACAAATACCATGATTAAAGGCAGACAGGCCTCCATGTGATGGTCGTGTGTCCGTTAGCCCGCACTAATTATTTAGATGGTGCTCACGCGAGCACCTGAAGACGGTCAGTGAGGCGGAGCCACCATCATCACCCGGAAATACTGTAGCAGATACCCATATGCACGCTGAGCAGACATGGCAATGCAAGTATAAGTACTTGTGTAGTCACGTGCAGATAAGATCAAGCCTCTCGCGATAGCAACAACTTTTTTGTTTGTAGTCCCTCCATCGGCGACAATATCTAGCATTGACATTTCCAGTCCGTCATGGCTCCTGGAAAGGTCATTCCCAAGAAAGATCCCAGAGCGTGGGAAGCGCTTACACCACCACTTGCAGAATGGATCCTGGATGCTGTGTCAACCATGGGGTTTTCCCACATGACACCCGTCCAAGCTGCGACCATGCCGCACTTTTTGGGCAACAAGGATGTTGTGGTTGAGGTATGAATATGTTTTTGCGAGTTGATTCTTTTTTGGTTTTGTCGTGCCACCAATCCTGACATGACTTACCTAGGCCGTCACAGGCAGTGGTAAAACACTATCCTTTTTAATACCCGTTGTGCAAAAGATTTTGCGCCTTGATGAGCCGACCAAAAAACACCATGTCGCCGCCATCATTGTCTCGCCTACAAGAGAACTCGCTGCTCAGATCCATTCCGCCCTCCTGTCATTATTAGCATTCCATCCGCCGTCTGCGGAAATTTTACCCAATCTCAACGACGAGGAGAAGCGACCCTCGACCACGGCTCCCGTTATTGTACCCCAATTGCTCGTTGGAGGCACGACCACTACGGCCCAGGACTTGAGTTACTTTATGCGCCATAGCCCGAACGTTTTAATATCTTCCCCTGGACGACTGGTTGAACTGTTGTCGTCGCCGCATGTCCATTGCCCCCAATCCTCGTTCGAAATGCTTGTCCTCGACGAGGCGGATCGACTGCTTGATTTGGGATTTAAACAGGACCTTCAGAATATCATTTCACATTTGCCGAAGCAGAGACGTACTGGTCTGTTTAGTGCCAGTGTCAGCGAAGCCGTGAGCGAGATTATTCGAGTCGGTCTGCGAAATCCCGTCAGGATTGAAGTCCGAGTCAAGATGAAGGACGGTGGAGTATTGGAAGATAGAAAGACACCGGCTAGTCTGCAAATGGCCTATCTCATCAAGCCGGCGACGCAAAAGTTACCGGCACTGGCGCAACTTCTTGAAAAATTGCCCATCACCCCGCAAAAGACGATTGTCTTTCTGTCTACGTGTGCAGCCGTCGACTACTTTCAACACGTCCTGCCGGGCCTGCTTCCGGCCCAGTTCTCATTAATACCGCTACATGGAAAACACCCGGCCAAGGTGCGAGAGAAGAATTTCAACAGGTTTTTAAACTCTGTTTCTCCCACTCTTCTCTTAACGACCGATTTGGCGGCTCGTGGCCTTGATATTCCTCAGGTTGATCTAGTTGTGCAAATTGATGCACCCTCTGATCCCAAAGTGTTTATTCACCGAAGCGGAAGGGCTGGACGTGCAGGAAGAAAAGGATTGGCAGTCGTCATGCTCCACCCCGGACGGGAAGAAGACTACGTACGGTTCCTGGAAATTCGCAAGACGCCAATTACTCCATTGGAAAAGCCGGAAATCTCTATATCAGAAAAGGATGCTGCCGCTGCTGTAGATCAAATACGCAAGTTCGCCAAAACAGACAGGGCCATCTACGATAAAGCACAAAAGGCATTCGTGAGCTGGGTGCGAAGCTACGGCGCACACCAAGCAACTTCAATATTCCGAGTCTCTGATCTTGACTGGATAGACTTGGCAAACGCATGGGGACTGCTCCGAATGCCGAGGATGCCAGAGCTCAAGAATTGGAAGGGCGACAAGACGCTGGGTGTGGAAATGGACTGGGACACATTCGCCTACAAGGAAAAGACGCGCGAAAAGGCAAGGATAGAAGAAATGGAAGCCGCAAAGAACGGTGAGGGAATCGAGAAGGACGACAAGAAACGCAAGAGGAAGAATGAGGCGTGGAGCGGCAAGCACCAACAGCAGGAGCAGCGGAACGAGAGACGTGAGAAGAGACACAAGAAGAAAGAGGCCGAGAAGAATGCCAACATGACGGATGATCAGAAGCTGGAAAAGATGAAACTAGACGATCTCATTAAGCAGGTCCGAGAGCGGAATCGCGCAAAGGCTGCGTCCAAGGACGACGAGTTTGAAGGCTTTGACGATTAAAGTTTCAATATACCCGTATCAAGTCAAGTATGCTGTCCCAACACAGTGCATCATAGCCGGAATATGACAGCCCGATTATTCGAAGGTTGTCCCATGTACAGGACCTAACCTGCGTGATGGGATTGACGATTGTAGTCACTGACAACATGCTGTCGAGTACGTGCTGCAAGACAAAATTTTTGACAGCTCTACAGCATGCAGGACTCGTCATCAGCCTGGCATTTAAGGATCTATCCGAGACGCTATCGCGAACCTTGGCCTCCGACCGCGTAAGCTGGTCGCAAATACGCGTATTTTACAGTATGTATTCGTGCTACCAACCCTACTCGTGCGACTACCGCTCGATTTAGCCTAGTGGCCAGCTGCCCACACCCCACCATACATTTTTATAACGGAGTACGGAGTACTCCGCCAGAAAAGCGGGGCGTTGCACGATTATTCGGCATTTAGTTGGATTTGTCTGTACAGTCCCCCCCCTGAATGTTTCTTCATGCGTGACCTAACAGGGGGGGTAATAACCAATAAAAAATAATTTTATAAGAGAAAGGTAGGTATTAAAAGTACCTGAGATTTCCCGAGATTTTTTTAGTAAGTTAAGGTCTTTATCGTGAACCCTGTAAGCCTTCTTAACATATTACCACTTAAAATATGTAGATCATAGATAGTGTACTACCCCCTGCTTATAGCTACCCTGTCAGGTCACTCGTGTAGAAACATACAGGGGGGGTATTGTAGTCGTAGAAAGGTGGGTCGTCACCCCGGTGATTGACGACGCATCACCTAACCCCACGCCGTAGACACGCATTATTCGATTCTTATCATTCAAGTCGAATCAATGACCTTAACCCACCGCCGAGAACTACTTCATTTGTTGCAGACCAGCCGTCCATGACGCAGTGCTCGGCTGACTCGATAGGCCTCTGGCTATCACAGATCCAGCAAACGGCCTTGACGGACGACGACGTCAGCGATCCTAAGGTTATTTCGAGGCAGCGTACAGATAATCGCAAACGGCGAGCGCCAATGACGCCTCCTCCTACCGAGGGCGAAGAAGATAAGACTCCGAAAAGACGACGAAGAAACGCGGAGAACCTAGATGACCGAACGCCTCGACAGGCCAATCGTGGCAATCAGCCCTTACTGCGGCAAGAGCTGACACGCATATCGGCCGCCGCCTCACAATCATCTGCCTCGCAATCTTCGGCAACCCACTCATCAGCATCTGGCAGATCGTCGCCCCGCAAGAGATTGGCCTCGACAGCTTTGTTTGATGATGGTGTACAGATCGGGATCTTGGATAGGTCCACGCCAAGGACAGTCACTTCGTTCATGGCCAAGTTTACGAGCATTGGCGATGGAATTCGTGTAATACCTCCTGCCTTCAAAGTAAGACTGACCGTCGTCTTTTTGGAGAATGCGTCTTGCTTACTATGTGCATAGGACCGCCTCGGGGCTGAGAATCGCATTTCCTCATACGATAGCTTTCGATTTTCGACATCAGACCCTCCAGCAGCGACCCGATTCGAGTTTTACGACGAGCTTGCGAGTGTGGCAGCGTGGGCGGCGCGATGCGAACGGAAGAATAGCGATGAGGCGACATGGAACTCTCTTGTGCATTCGCTGCTGATGCGCCTGGCGATCCATGGGAGCAGTCACCTGGTAGTGCCTAATGTCGAGGTGGATTTCGAGCAATGGTTCGTCCATCTTGCTCTTCTCCCTGCCTAGGTGCGCGAATAAGGATGCTAATGACAATTGTAGCACCAGCAGCGATATCATCAAGAACTATCTTCCGACCGCCGAACCCGGCAAACGAGTCGATTTCGTGTTCTGCCTGAACCTCGGGAGTAGCGACAGGAGTAAACTGAATCGCCTTCGCCGAAGACTGCCACTCAACACAGTTAACCACACCGACAACCCCAGCCTAGTCCTCGATCCTATTTGCGTAAGCATCGAAACGAAGAAAGCGGCATCCTCTACCGATGAGGCCCGAAAACAGCTGGCGGTGTGGCAGGCGTCGCAGTGGAAGCAGCTTACGATGCTGCTGTATTGCGTGGACGAGAACAGGGCAGAAGAGGATGTGGCCTCGAGACTTGCGGAGCTGCCGTTCCTACCGGGGGTGATCATCAATGGTCATGAGTGGTCACTGTATGTAACGACGAGGGAAGGAGAAACGACGACGATTTGGGCGGAAAAACCCTTTGGGTCAACACGGGATTTGCTAGGTGTCATTAAGGTATTGAGTGGATTGCATGAGTTGCTTGGTTGGTCGAGAGAGGTTTTTTCGCCTTGGTATCAGAAGCATGTGTTATCTTGTACAATATAGCTATTTAACCCTAGTCCTAGTCCTACTATCTGTCAGAAATACGGTGGCACTATTATGGAGATAAAAATTGTGATATATTCTTGTCTGTTCTCCTCTTGTTTAACTTGAAGAATTGAGGTCTTTTATCTTTACTCCCCAACCACCTGAATGAATTCAGGTGGTTGGCCAGCCTTCGTATTTTGTAACCACTGAGAATCTAACACTATCCTAGGCAAGTCATTCGTGTGAGGTAAAAGGAGCAGGGCTTTTCGTTCTGAATTCCTCAGACCGATTTCCCTTGGCAATAACTGGAGACGGTGTGCAGACGACAAATAATCCAGACTAGGGATTGTGAAGACATTTAGACCTTGTTGGACTTGGCCCACGAGGTATGCCCCGGACGGGAGTCCCCACTTGCCAAGCTGTCACAGTCCCAACCCGAACCCGTCCGGACGTCTGGTCTGATCTGATGAGCGGCTGTTTGACTTCTTCTTAAATTAATACCAGGCATAATGCCAGCAGCAACCAGCCGCTCGAGTTTTCTTTGATGAGAGCCAGTGTCAGATGGATTTAGTGATGATCAGTTTACGTCAGAATGCAAGCACCTTAGAGGACGGTGAAAAGGGGGCGGCCGGGCAGGCGGTTTTGCTTACTTCTGTCGGAAGGAATCGTCGCTATCTTCCCATCCCGTAGCGCGGCTCCTGTCTCGGCTGTCAACTGGCTGCTGCCACCTTGCAGCTCTTGCCAAAGCCGAAGCCTCCGATGCAGTTGGTGCACCATGAACGTCGTTATTTCGGGTATCCAAAGCTCGCGAAACACCTCTTCCAGAAACCGGCCTGCCGTCGCAATGCCCTGGATTGACTGGCCACCCAACTCAGCAAACCACAGCTGACTGTGCCGATTTGAGGCTACGTCCCGACCGTAATGATACGCCAAAGAAGCTACATGCATCAGCACCGGTCGGTCCTGCTTTAATTTTGGCCATCGATTTATGTGGATTTTTCCATCACCATGGCAGACATCCAGAACATCTGGATTGATGTACGGCCAGCCTCCTCTGCGCAAGCTCTCCATTGTTTCCAGAGCTCTAAACACCCTACAAGGCAACACGCGCGGTTTACCTGTGAAGCAGAAGTTTCCGAGACGATCTATTGCGGCGATGCCCTCCGAAAGCGCTAAGCTGATCACGAAACTTCTGTTCCATCTCCTCAATGGCCAGCTCGAACACTGTGAAAAACGCCACAAGTATGCCTGGAAAGACCTCCGGCGGAAACCGCCTCAGGATCGATGAGTAGTATTGCTTCTCCTGTAAGAAGAACCTCATTAGCTGAAAGATTGGGCGAAACTGTGCGAAAACTACGCTCGGCGCGAACTAATCTTTGTCGCGCTTTTACACGTTTATTAGCTGTAGTTATTAAGAGGCGTTATCCTACTGTTATAATATAGTTAAACTACACTAAAAACTATAAAACTACACTACACTATAAACTACACTAAAAAACTACATGTAGTGTAGTTTTTTCGTCAATGCTCTGGCCCTAACATACCTCTTTGTCCCACCTGGCTAAACATTCATGGCCTAGACTGTACACCCACGTGGTCGCGCCCACTTTTTCAAATTTCAATCGGTATTGAATTCAACTCTTATCATTTTTTTTTTTCAATAACATGAGCTTAAGCGAGCGCTAGTAGGGCCTAAATCGCCTATAAAAGCGATTTCTGGTGTTTTGATGAATGTGTACACATTCACGGGCCGTCAGTTATTCCGCTGCCGCCGTGAACGCTGCCCGGGCTCCCAAGGGGTCATCCATCGAAGCTGCGGCTCTTCCGGCTGTGTTCAAGGGATAATTTGCTCAATTTCCGGCAACCCTAATACTTCTGCTTGCTCCGTGGCTTATCTACCTATTGTTCGAGTTTATGTGCGACTTACAGCGTTTCCTGACCGCGCCCGCGACCGTATTGTGAGTCTTTGTCGCTGCAGCCTGATTTTCCGTTTTTGTGAGGCATGTTCGTGATAACCCTCTTGTTGCCAGGGAAATGTATGTGAAATTGTATGGCGGGGCGTGGCAGGTTAAGGTGTACTAGGCCCAAAATCAGGGTGGGGCGTAAGCACTAGCACGACCCGCGAATACGCGTATAGGTGGACAGGGAAACACGGATTTGGCAATTCCAAGGTGACCAGGGTCTTCTTGAACACTTGAAATACGCGCATATCGACTTACGCTAGTCTCCATATCTGGTTACAGCTCACGCAAGCCGCACGAACGTGTCAAATATAAGAGGTGGGACGAGGACCGGATAGTTTGAAGCTGAGCTCGGCCATGTATATAATACACTCGTTATTTAGCTAGGCCTTGTTTCCTTTTTTTCAGCATTGGCTCTTGATCCCCTGAGAGTACTCCGTATTACATTGACTTCTATTTCCTCCTTTCCTTTTTACTTACTGCCCTCTTCTTTTTTTTTTTTTTTTGGCCTTTCTCAAGCCCTGGGTTTAGTCTTCATTTAAAAAAAAAAACGAAATATGGCAGAATTAAAACCATTCAGGGGCAATTACTACCTATGGGAATACGTCCCGTCGACAGCAGCAGCAGTGATATTCGTGTTCCTGTTTGCGGGAGCAACGGGCTTCGTGGGCTGGCGGATGGCCAAGACGAGGACGTGGTTCAGCATACCTTTTATCCTCGGCGGACTGTGTAAGTCGACGCCACAGTGACTCTGTTTCCCCTCAGACCACAGCATCACCATGAGACGCCTTTCAAGCACAACATATGTATATACATACTGACGCAGGACTCTGTTCCACAGTCCAGTTCCTAGGCTACGCGGCCCGGGCGTACGCGCGCGACAACACCGACCAACTCGGCCCGTACCTGATGCAGTCGGTGCTCATCCTCGTTGCGCCCGCGCTCTTCGCCGCCTCCATCTACATGACGCTCGGGCGGCTCATGCGCAGCGTCCACGGCGAGCGCCACTCCATCATCCCCATCCGCTGGCTCACCAAGGCCTTTGTGCTGGGCGACGTCTTGTCGTTCATGGTGCAGTCGTCGGGAGGGGGGATGATGGCGGGCGAGAACTTTGACCCCAAGACGGGACAGAACATCATCCTCGGCGGGCTGTTTGTGCAAATCATCATGTTTGGGCTGTTTGCCATGACGGCTGTGATTTTTCACGTCCGGATGAGGAGGTGGCCGTCGGCGGCGAGCATGGACGCCAGCTCGGGCTGGGTCAGGATCATGATGATGCTGTACGCGACGAGCGCGCTGATTCTGGTGCGGTCGGTGTTTAGGGTCGTGGAGTACATCATGGGCAAGGAGGGCTATTTGCTGAAGCATGAGTGGACGCTGTATGTTTTTGATGCGGCCTTGATGTTTGGCACCATGGCGGTGTACGGGGTTGTGTATCCGGGGCATTTGAGCCGTAAGGAGTTGAGGAAGCCGAGGGCGTGGGACACGGTTGATTCGGGGCTCGGGGAGGATGATGTTCGGCTGGGGGGCCATTAAGGAGAGCCATTTTGCGGGAATGGGGTTGTGTTGTTTGCATGTTGGGTTGGGCTTCTTGATATTTGGTGGTGATGCTCTTTTTGAGCGTGTTGGCATTTTGGACAGCGAACGGAGCCAATTAGTATTACAGGCCATGCATAGAATATAACTAAAGCCAAGGTGTAAAAATATGCAACAAAAGAAAGAAGATGTAAAAATAAAAATAGGCAGCTGTAATCTCATGGTTGTCACGCTTAGGCTGCATCACCGACACGACAGTCTAAACCCGCTGACCTAAGCAACCCTGACAAGTTACAACCACCCGACGTCAAAATCTCACCACAAGTTACAACGTTCGGCATGGTCCATAACGGCATCAACCTTCCTGTCAAACACGCCGTCCACGTCATCTCCCCATTGCCAGGCCGCCCAGCATAGCCACGAAAAGCTACGAAAGCTCAATTGCGCCACGGGCACCTCCAAATCCCTTCGCTTCGCCCACTCGCTCGCTCTTCACTCACTCACGAAATCACGGAATCGCCATGCCTCAACCCGGCGGCACAAGCCCGCAGCAGCAGCCCAAGGGACATCGCAGATCGCACAGAAAATCCCGAAACGGCTGTGTCGAATGCAAGCGGCGCCATATACGCTGCGACGAGCGCCGGCCCGCCTGTGCAAACTGCGCCATCGCAGAACGCACATGTGTGTTCCCCCCGGCCAAGGACCGGCCCTTGCGGAAGAAGGGGTCATCGCCACCGCATTCGCCGACTCGTACAGATGGCCGGAGTCCGTCGACTACGGCGTGGAATTCAAGCGATGCCCGGACACCACGTACGCCCAGTGACACGGCCCTCCCGCAACTATCACGAACGCAGTCCCATCCAACTACGTCCGAGCCTTCGCCTCTGCCCTCGTTTGGCGAATCGTTTCCGCGGTCCTGCGAGCCGTCTTGGTCGGATCCCCCTCTCTTCACAGCAGACCATCTCTCCCTTCTGTACCACATGACCGTCACCGGGGACAGCTTCTTCATGACCCCCAGGCGGGACGGCGACATCATCGAGATGGCCATCCGCTTCGCCTCCTCTCACCCGTATCTCATAGACGAGGTGCTCGCCCTCTCTGCCCTCCACAAAGCTACAACAACCTCGCCACCGGACTCGGCACATCTCCTCCACGTGGCCACCGAGCTTCAAACCCGCGCCATCACGCGCTTCACCAGGCTCTCGTCCACCCTGCCGCCCGACGACATGGCATCCTCCATCCCACGGTTCCTCTTCGCAGCCATCCTATCCCTCCACGACCTCGCAGACACCCTGTCCTCCGTCCGGACCCTTCACCACTCGCAGTTCCACGTCTTTGTAAACCGCTTCGTTGACTGCTTTCGCATCCATCATGGCGTCCGCGCCGTGATACGACCTACTTGGCAGCACCTCCTGACCTCGGAACTAGAACCCCTCCTCACACTCACCCACAAGGCACGCGTGGATGCCGAGCCAGGAAGTGCAAGAGGCGAACCCGAAGGAGGGCACGAATGCCGCCCCCTCCACGACCTCCTGGATTCCTCTGACCTCGGCCCCGCCACCGTTACGGCGTGTCGAGAAGCCGTCGATCAGCTACAATACGCCTTTGACATGTACAGGGATTTGCCGACACCGGCGGCAGGACCACACGCTGCGTCGGCGTTTTCAGTCACGGTGAGTACCGACTACGTTGATGTGCTAAGGCGGTTGCAGCCCGAGGCGGTGGTCGTGCTGGCCTACTACGGGGTGTTGCTGCATCGCTGCAGGCATTTCTGGATCTTTGGCGACGCGGGCGCGTTTGTCGTGAGGGCTATCGCGCAGCATCTGGGTGCTTACTGGCACCACATCATGGCCTGGCCGTTGAGCATGGTGGAGGGAGCCGCGGATGAGCAGGCGGGCCAGACGGACGCATGAATGGAGCAGGTTCAAGATGCGGAACGGCCAAGGCTCAAAAGATGACTAGATACTGCGTCTGAGACAGGTCCGTTCGTCCGCAACTCGATATTCTCTGGCCGTTTCCCGGCGGATACGTGTGCTGTCGAATCACCACTTACAAAAGGTACTGTGGTAAGGGGGTTTATTTCCGCGTCTTAAACCGAGACAACAACCCGCACGGGACAACCACGTCGATTAGGCAGCAGCTCTTCAGGGACGAACTCGTATTATTGCACGGATCACACAGAAGACATTGACAGCACGCCATCTGCAACCTGTTTCCCCCATCCTGCACCGAGTTGGTAACAATATCCCGAAACGGACATGAAGGACGCCTTCTCAGGGCCGTACACAGCACTGGAAAAGAAACGCCCAAATTATCCCCAAGCAAGTGGTGCGCCCACATGTGTGGATGACAGTACCACGATTTTACACCCTGTCACGATACCACGCGGGCAAAAACTTGCACAATGCCCTCACCAGCAAACGATAGGAAACCGCCACGCAGCATGACGAAAATAAAAGTTGCTGTCGAGTTGCTTCTCCGCACCAAGATCGGCCAGCACAATACGCTCTTACCCCCCGTCACACGTATTGTTTCCCGCATCGCTACCTGGCCCGGGCCATCTCCTCCCAGCGACACATGACCTCGCTCTAGAACCAACAAGCATGAACAACCCCAAGCACATGGTCTCGAAGCGACTTTCCCATCTAAAGCCCAACTACGTCCTCGCAAAAGCATAGATCAGACCCGGGCCCCCAAAACTCAAAGAAACAATAATCAACTTCAACTCTCCCAACCAATAGCCCCCACTGAGACAATGACAACACAGACCAGTCACCATTGCCAACATTACCATCGTAAGCTCCCAAAATCCAGCCGCCCATTACGCATCTATCCTACGCCTTCCGATTACTATATAAAAACGGCCAAATACACGCGACTATGCCGTCTCCCCTGCACAGGCAACCTTCAAAACATCCATCTCATCATTCCCCCGGCACCAAAGAAACCTTGAGCAAACACCCAACATTTCAAGCCCAAAAGCAAAAATAAAAATGAAGTTCCCCATGGTCCTCATAACCCTCGCCATCGGCACGGCCCTCGCGTCCCCCATCCCCGACGAACCACGGGAGGACTCCGGCTTCGGCGGGGCCCTTCTGAAAGGGGCAACGCGCAGCATCGCCGCGCACCGAGGAGGCGGCGGGCACAAGCCGAAAAAGATGCCCCACAGAGGCGGCGGCCACGGCCACGGGGGCGAGGGTCTGTCGGCCCACCTGTGCAGGGAACACTGCTGCCACCACAAGCGCGAGCCCGCCGAGGCCTTGTTCCACGACATGTGCGAGCACTGCCACAGCTTGGGGCTGTGCTAGGCGGCTGGGAAGCTGGCACGCACGCAAACACGCGCAGACAAGCAAACAAAGTTCAAGGATCTTGGGGGTTATCTGAGGGACAGGGAAAAGAGGGGGGGGTTCGCAATGTTGACTCAGGGCTGGCTCTCATCATCCGGTTTGCACGTCGGAAACGGACGGTGTACGGGCAGAGCAGATGACGAGACGGGATGGATACATATAACCATGGACAAGGAACAACCCGAGATGGTTTTTTTCTCTCCTTCTTTGGCATTATTACGAATTTTAAGACCTGACCGGTGCTACGAGTCCATCAATTATATAGTCTTACACACTGAACGTATATAATGGACACAAGTTGCGGAATCGCGCATGTCACATCTACTCCCGTGCTATAACAGGTTTCACCTACGTCTCTTAAGAAACCAACTACCTAGTATTTTTTTCTAGACAGTAATCATCATCTATCACGCCTTTACCAATCCCCGCAACTTGTCACCTCGGCATTCAACTCGTCCTTCGATATTTTGTATGGCTACCACCTATCCTCGCCTCACTTTCACATCTTGGCCTGTCCTTTGTCAAAACAACTTTCTCGTCTGAGGATAAGCCCCCTTCCCCAACCCAACTCCAGTCTTTTTCGCGTGTGTCTCCTAGGGCTAGAGAGGAGGCAGTTGAGATTAATCTTTGAACATCAAACTTCATCATCATTTCTGCTGCGTCGTTAATAGAAACGGGACCTAGACAAGCTGCCCCATGTCGCCCTGTGACACATCTAAATTTTGGTATCACTACGGTAAAAAAGAAACGTTCCCGCAAGCAGCCCAGCCACAGCAGAGGAGCAACCAATCGCTCTAGCCATCATGCCAGGCAAGGACTTACAAGCCGTAAAACTCCCAACCATCCCCGTTCCCATCCTGCTTCTCGCTGTTGCCTGGGATGGCCGACTTTCCCTCCTTAGTTGGCGCAAACTCACTTCTCAACTCTTCATTAAGTCAGAGCTCTTCATCCTCGAGCTCCGAGGGCTTCAGCAGACCGCCAACCTTTTGTCGCCTCTCCATGTCTGCGGCTTTGGCGTCGGCCTCGCGTTGCTCCTTCTCAACCACGAAGAGCTCTGCGTTGTCGCCGGCGAACTCCTTGAGAGAAATAAGGAAATCTCGAAGATTCAGACGGAACTTATCGTACGTCGTGTTGAATGAGAAGAGTCCCTCCACGAAGCTTGTCACCTGGGCACTATCGGCATGTTAGCAATTTGACCGCCCCCAAAGGCATTCCGTGCATCAATCGGTACATACGCTTGCAGGTTTGGGAAGGCATTTCGCAGTAAAGTTGCTACTGAGTTGCCGAGATACTCTTTGTTGTTAGCTCCGGCTTGCGCTTGATCGGGGGTGTAGATTGGTCCTTGAATCTTTGGCTGCGTGCCATCGGCGGGATGGATATAGTAGAAGAGCTTCATCAGCAGCATGGACTGAGTCTTAAATCCAGCCTTGTGGTCATTGTCAGTCACGACAAACAAAACATCCTGCAAGATGGTCATGAAGAAGCGCTGGAAGAAGGCATTAGCGGTGGCAACGTCAGTCTTTTCAGCAATGTTGTTGATCAGTTCAAGACACATGTTCAGACCGGCAGCCTCAACATCTCGATTGTCGTGCTTGAATGCCCAGGAGCAAGAGTCAATAACAAATTTGAACTGGTTGTTATTCAGCTTCAACAAGGCCGGGAAGCAATGCAAATTGATGGCTCGGAGGAGATTAAAGAACTCGACTCGGTGCTCAGGGAACTCGGAGAAATCCTTGTTGATCATTTCCAAAGTGCATTCGAAGACATTTTCCATGATAGTTGGAACCTGGTCCTCCATCAGAGCAGAGAGCTTGGTGATGATGGTAGACATGGCCTTCAACACTTCGGCGTCACGAGCACCTGCAACATTTCGGTTGTAATCAACAAGCACGCAGTCGAGTAAAGGAGGAACCATTTGAGCACGAACAGCCTGCAGGTCTTCGGCCTTTTCGACGTAAATCTCAACAAGCTTGAGGATTTCCTTCTTGATGGTTCTCAGGCCGCGGACTCTGGGCATTTTCGTCGCCAGCTCACCTATCCCGAATGTTAGTCATATTGCAAATTATTGATTATCCATGCATGCGTGTTTGACTTGCCATCTCGAGCAACAGCCTCTGAGATGAGACCGCTAGTGGCGCGATACATCTCCAGCATATCGTGGTAAATTCGTCCAATCTGGGGGTAAAAGTACGACCCAATGGAGCTACAGGCAGAAACATTGGTCTTCATGATATTGCCAATGACTTTGATGGTCTCTGCATCTTGCAAGATTGAGGGGTTAACGGTGGCCTGCTTGATAATCTCATCCCACGCAGCGTTGGGAATATTCATCAAATCTGCCAAGAGCCGCTCCTGCTGGTGCTTGTTGCCCTGGGCGGCAACCATGTAACCACATGCTTCGTAGAAAGTGTGGACTTGCTGCGGCGTCAGATCACACGTAATCTTACCCATGTTCCTGACAATCTCCTCAATGAATGGCTCCTGCTCACTAGGCTGGAGGGCCACAAAGTGTCTTCGGCACTGTCTGGCGATCTTGATGAAGGTATCGCAGGCCATGTCTTGCACACCTGGAAGAATAAAAGTTAGCATGCTAGTGTTGTTCAGATGGCTGTCATCGCGGGTCCGGAGGGGCTTACCTTCGTGAGACTCGTGCATAAACTCAAACAGCTTGTTGACAACCGTCTTAAGGAACTTCCAATGGGCTTTCAAAAATCGAGGGTACTGGCCCACGATATACATAATGTTGCTGGCGACAACCGCCTTGTTGTCTTTGCCGCGCTTCATCTCTGTAAGTCCCAAAAGATCCTTGATGACGGTGACTAAGAACCGTTTCTCGGTTTCCTCGTTCATGGCCAGGGAGATGGATCCGATGGCCCAACACAGGACATTGCAGTTGTGCCATGACCACTCAGAACCGTCAACCTGACGAGCCAGCTTTTCAGTCATGATATTCTCCGTGTCCACCACGTCCAAGTGCGTCAGGTACACCAGACATTCTCTGATAGTCTTATACAGCTGGACTGTGTCGCTTTCCTTGACAAATTCTCGGACAATCTCCCCTTCGTCGTTTTCAACGATGAGAACTTCCTCAGGCCTGACCATTCTCTCAATCATGACAACTCGCAGATTTGACAGGACCTCGTTATATTTGTGTTTTCGAAGTGGATAGTTCATCAAGAGCGTAGGGTTCGGGGCACCACTGCCAGACATGCCTCCCACAGCCATGAGCGGGTTGAGATCCGTGATTGGAAGCTGCTGCATCTCCTCGTACAATTCCTGGACCAGCTTCAGCCAGTAATCCAAGCAAATTTTGAAAATCTCGCGGTCGTCAATCTGCGATATCCGGATCAAGTAGTAGTGTCCGTGCATAAGGTAGTCTCGGTTCGGGAGGTTTTCGATCAGCTGCAAATGGTTAGGACGCCGTACATGAAATCTTGTTCCACTATATTTGTAACTTACGTTCAGGTGGGTTCCGAAAAAGTTGCAGAGAAACAATGCCAAATTCTGAACAAACTCTTGGTCCCTTGAGTTGCTCGTGGGGTAAGTCGCCTTCAAATCCAGAGAGACGGGGATGATATCCGCAATTGTCGTCAAGACCTCTGTGAACATCTTGACCAGTTGCTCGTCATACGAGTTCGATTGACCAGCGCCGCCGGTTTGCAGACCACCAATTTCCGTCAGGCACTGAAGAGTGACGTTTCGGAACTCGGGTACGGACAGGAATCGCGTTCGCAGGGTTTCGATGAGGTTTGTCTCGAAAATGTAGCCCAGAGGAATCCAGTTGCAAAATCGCAGCAACGTCTCGAGGGTGGCGTGAACCAAGCTGGGCTGGTCTGCAGTTGTAAGGACTTCTTGGCAAAGCTGGAAAATCTGTGAAAACTCGGCGCACATGGTCTGCTTGAGATTTCTCGTCTTTGTGGAAGTCATCTGCTCTGCCGAGTAATCAAACACTTCTTCTGAGAGTAGTCGCAGGATGATCATGTTGTTCTCGCAAATGGACAGGTTCGCGTGGCAAGACGAAATGATTTCGTTTATGAAAGTGGGCCAGTTGTGAGGCCACTCCTGCTTGAGCACAGAAATGAGAACGAGATTCAGCTTGTTGAGCAGGGTTTTGTTTTGCTTCAGGGCATCTTCGGAGCTAGAGCACTGGATGATGAATTGGACAATGAAATTTCGGATGCCTAAATAACAAGGTCAGCTGGGAAACGAACCATCATAATACTGAACTGCAAAAAAAGGAAAGAAAAATAAAACGGCGAATGATGAAAAAGCGACAGACCTTGGCACTGGTCGCGAGGCAACACCTTCCACCTCGTCATAATAACATTGTCAAGAACCTGTAAGCCCAAGTCTTGAGGGGAAAAGTTAGCGTCCCGTTGAACGTCGACAGTAAGCCAGGGAAATTCGCCATAATAGCCATCAAGTGATGTTGTTCCAGCATACATTTTGTCTGGGGGTATTGCGCGGTCGAAAGGATCTTGTCTACCATAAGCCAAGCATCGGGATCTTCTTTGAACTAGTAGCATAGTTAGCAATGCGTGTTTTCTTTTCCTTCTTCTTCTTTTTGAGCGAAAACAAGCTCCTTAAGACGAAAGCGCATTTTGATGTACTATCGGTTCGTCCCGGAAGTCTATTGTCGGTTGCTATTCTAGCACAGTTGTGGGTAATATTTACCTGGTTCAACGCGGCTTGGGCGGCTTTTTGCTACGGTGTGGAACAAGCAGTCAGCGTCATCACATTCAAAAGATTTGAAATGACGCTCTTTTGTGTAAAAAGTGAAGCCGGAAAGGGGTGTTGTGCACAAACCTGGTCCCCGCGACCTTCGTAAAAGGCGCGGACCGTGGTGTCGAGCTCTTCGATTGTGACAGCCATGGCCTGAGCAAGACGAGGCTAGCAACGAGGGGAAACGAAACCAAGGGCGGGGGAAGCCTGCAGAAGTTGTTGGACGGATTCGAAACGTAGGCAGCGCGCAAGATGAAAAATAAAAAAAAAAGAAGTGCGGCGCGTTAAAGCTGTGTGATGCTCTGGCAGGGGAATATTCGGGAGGAGGATCGCGAATATAGAAAAGAAGGTCGTGTGTGATGGGGGTGGGAGTGGAAGAAGCTTGCTCTGCGTGTGATGTGGTTGGTGGCGGCTGGGCAGACGGCGGAGAGGCGAAAGAAAAATGACATTGACACGGACATGGACATGAGTGGACATGGTGCACTTAAGCAGCTGAGCCCAAAACACTTGAGCAGCGTGCCTCCACAGGCCCAATTGCTCAATGACAGCGCTTGAATGCCTAGAGTCCAGGTGCTCCAGTGGCTAGAGGTGGGGTCTGGTGGTTTGCGTTGCTGTTTGGCGTGTTAGGATAAGCCACAGCGCTCGTTTGCCTAAACAGCACCTGGACTGGTGGCTAGAGGTCAACTGTCAACTGGTCAAGTCCCAGGTGCCATGTTTGCCAACGTGCTTGGCCGTCAACGGTCAATACTCAAGCGCCGAACTAGGCACCTACCAAGTTAATAGGTACTTTACCAAGTAGGTGCACTGGTGTCTGGTGTGCCAGATGTGCAGCCTAGCCTGCCACTCAGCCGCCTTACACATTGACACGCAACGTCAGAAAATACCGTGAATGTTCCATTTGCTCCGTCAGGTGGGGTCAAGGCGGGGAGCTTTTAGATGCCGAGTTCTCAAGACCAGACATCTGCCTCGGACACTACCACCGGACCAAGTGTGTTAGGCCTAGCCCGAGACTAATTTGTAAATGCCAATTCATCGTTCCTCGTGGCGAACCACTACTTGCCTATCGGTCCATCAACCTGCTGACGCTGGTGTAGCTTTTGTCAGCATCTCGATCCCTCCTCCCCTTCTTTATCCGATTGCCCCTCTTGCCCGCCTCGGCTACCTACTTTATGTGGATTGAGCCGTGTCCACCAAAAGCTCACAATGTGGCGCTGACCAACTCCGGGAGGGGCGGGCAAGTTGTGGCTGGTCCGCCGGCAGCTGTTTGGGGTGTTGTAGCAGATACCTTTCCTGCCTGAGCCTGCCGCCACGTCGTGCTGCATTCCAAAGCTGCAACGGTCGGTGAAGTGCTTCGCTATGACGCTGCAGGTTCGTGTACTCGGTACTTGCGTCCTACAGTACTTCGTGCCCAGGCCGTCACATCACCACCTGATCTGATAACCATGTTCATTCGCTCCGGCTGACCAAATCCGAAGCACAAATTCACCACGTCTCATCAATCACTCCCAACAAAGCCGCGGTGATAATGACTCGAACTTCCCAAAATCAACAGTCATAGATACTCACACACAGGTTGTCGTCCGCAACATTCCAGTACACGTCCTCAATTCGATCACAGGCCAAATCCAAAAAATACCGCCGGCCGCAAATTTGTAGCTTTCTCATAATAATCGGACTGCTGGCTTTGACTGTTTCCGTGTGCCACGTCTCTGTCCAGGTCTTCCTTTCGACGATGAAGATTAGAGTTTGGATATATTCGCTCATATACTCTCTTCTACAAGAAAATGTGCTCTACCTTGAGAGCCTCATTCTAGTTTGATTCAAAACAGGTTCTTTCTTAGCGTACAGTGACTCCAATATCCCTTATCATGCCTTGTAGCCAGACTCGGCCAAAGACTCCTTCAGAGCCTTGAGGGCATTGTCAACATCGTTTCGCTTGGGGTCCATCTGTAAAGGAGCGCACGTTAGCACATTGTTTTCCTAGAATAGAAAAAAAAGTCTAGCCAGGGGAAAGGGTGGCTTACAGCCGAGGGTCCCATGTGTCCAAATCGAATATACTTGGTGCCAATCTCCTTATGCAGCCCACCGGCGAAGATGATACCTTTGTTCAGCAGCTTGGGCAGGATATCGGGAATGCTGACACCATCTGGCAGATAAATGGCAGTCATGGCATGAGCCTGATCCTCGGGCTTGGCTGCGACAACCTTCAGGCCAAGGTCAGCGACAGCCTTCTTGACCTTGTCGGAGACCTCGATGTGTCTCTGGAAGCGCTCTGACAAGGGGCGGGCCAGAATCTGGCTGACAGCAGTGTTCAGAGCGTGTATGAGCTGCGGTGAAGGAGTGGAAAAGTACGAAGGCTTCTTTGCCTCATAGTTTTGCATAACTGTCACACCCGAGGTCAGCTATTACCAGCGGTCAGGTATCAAGTATTTCACGGCGCCTTCTTACTAGGAATCCATCGCTTCATAGAAGCAAAATAAGTGGCGGGCTCTGTCTTGCGGTTGTGGACGACATCAATGGCACGGCCGCTGAACATGGAGATGTGCAATCCAGTAGGGCAACCAATAGCCTTCTGACCGGCGGTAACAACAGCATCCAAACCCCAGTCATCAAATGCAATTTCCTCGCAAGCAACACTGCAGACACCGTCGGCAATGATAAGAGTCTCGGGAGAGACGCGCTTGACAACATCGCTAAGGCTCTTGAGGTCGAACAGGACACCAGTCGAGGTATCAACATGGGTGGCAGTAATGATCTTGTACTTCTTTTCCTTGAGGGCCTTCTCAATCTCATCAGGCTGAGGTCGGCCGCCCACAGGCCCGGTGATCTTGGTGACATTGGCGCCATAAGCAGTGAGGCAGTCGGCGAATCCGTCTCCGAAGTAGCCGGTGCTCAGGACAAGAGCATTTTCACCAGGCTCGACCAAGTTGACAGCGACCATGTCCCAGCCCAGAGTGCCAGAGCCATTGATAACGAAAGGCTGTGAAGCTGGATTGGTGGTCTGGAAGAGCTTCCTCAGCATGGAGAGAGTATCACCAAAGGTCGAGACAAAGCCGGGGCCAACATGGGACTCGCTGTCGAATTGTAATGGCAAACAGTCAGCAACTCCCCACAGTTATTCTTCTCGCCCAGGGGTCACGTCAAGTATTTAATTTGGAAGGACGTACCTGTAGTGAGCCATGGACTGGAGCACGGCATCGTCGAACTCGATGGGTCCGGGAATCATCAAAGCAGGATGAGCAGCTTGAGAACACATTTTGGCGACTTGTTGGCGGCGGCAAGTACTGGGCGAAGGTTGGTATTTGGATTGAGCGCCTCGTCTGGCTGAAACTTGGAATAATGGTCGGGGATGTCGATGTAAAGAAGTAGAATATGTCCTCGGACCAAAGCTGGTGCTGCTGGAGCTTGTTGAAGAAATGGAGGGGTAATGCAGGCTTTGGCGGGGCAGAGCCGACAGCGCTAATGTCAACGTCCCCTCCAGCGGTCGGGCGGAAGCCGGGGCTCTCGAGAGACGCATGGCGCCGAGTGGCCAGGCCGTGTGCGAGCCTTTCGGAACGAGGCACGGGCGCTTGAACCACGTCGGGATGCAATGCTCAATTGCACCCGATATCCCAGAAATCCCAGATATTCCAACTCAAAGGCAGCTGTCTGCTCTAATCACGGCTCTAAAAAGCCGCAGGAGGGTGTCTGGCTCTTGTGCAGTCTCCGTCAACGGAACCAGGAAGAAGAGAAACCAGGTTGTCGAAAGCCGCGCAGTGTCGCTGTCGGCTACGGTGCCGGTACCGGGCCAACCAGAGCGCTGGCCACCGCCGTCTTCCGCCTGATGCGGCAGCTGAGCCATGTGAATGGGCGCGGATGAGCGCAGATGGGCACCCGGCGTTTTCCGGCGTCAGGTATGTACATACTAGGTACTAGGTTACCAGCTTCGCTATTCCAGAGCGCATCACTACCAAGTGTATTGATGCATACAGACCGAGTAACCTGTTTCTTCTCAAGCACCAGTTGACCTTTCGATGTTCCTCGGTGCAGGTACCGTAGCGCCCGAGAATTCCTGTGTCGGAAACAACAGCCAAGTCATTTTACACTCGCCGGCCTAGTTCTTGGCTGATTAGTAACCTTTTACAGTACTTTCCGCTTAAAATCGGCTCGCCTCACATTGTAAATCATCATCACCGTTACTCTGAACCCCGGCCGACTGTGGACCTTCAAATAGCCCTCAAGGCAAACAAGGTGAGAAGTGACTCTATTTCACTGCTCTTTGAACCCAAACTCGACCGCAGCGCTACCAATCGCCCCCTTCCCCCCCCTTCTCCTCTTCCATTTCATCCCAACTGACCCAATCTTTCTGTGGAATCCAAAATAGGTCCCTGGGATGTCTACATCAGGCAGGCAACCTTGCGGCTACTACAAAGTCCTGAAGATCCCACCTTGATGCGTGACGATTCACCCACCCACGTCCACGCTTCTACGAGCCACTCGTACCACACTTTTGTGTCGTCTGTTTGTCGCCACATGCTTACTTCCAGTTCTGTGTCGGCTGGGAACGATATTGGTTCCTATATCACCATTAGTCTGTTTCTGCTGCATGTACTAGTCAGGGATGGGATGAGCTCACTTTGAGGGGGAAGAAGATGGGGAACCAGGAAATCATATCCTTGCTCTTCTGGTCAATCCTCTCGGGGTGCGTGCTGATTTCTACCTTTTCCCCCTTCTGACTCTCGAGCTTGGACTCGTACAGTGTAGATTCAAAGTATCCTGCCAGGCCGTGTGTGACGCCCTGTGAGCGACACACAAATGTAACATGGCAGTATCGAGAGTTGTGGTCATTTGCACCCGCTGCCCCGGCCATGCTACCGCCGCCGCCACCCATAATGCCACCGGAGCGCCGGGCATCAATGTTAGTCAGCGTCGACTCCGGAATAGGGTGAGAGAATTCCCATGCTTGTTGGAATCGCGCATGTCCAGGGACCCTTTGGCAGACGAAGTCGAGGGCGTAGAGCCTAACGACCCAAGGGGTGTTGAAGGCTGTGGCTTCAGTAGCGGACCGTGCCAAGATGTCCCCGTATACTTTGGGCGTAGAAATGGGACTCATGTGCGCCGTGTAAGAATGAGGAATGGAGATGCCGTGAGGTTTAGCAAGAACGTGCTGGATGCCATCCAGGCACTCGGGCGAAAGTTCATTATCGCCAAATGATCCAAGGAGTTCGGAAAGCAAAATATCAACTTTGCCGTAAACAGGGCCGCCTGAAGATTGGGACACAATGGGGCCCTTCCAAGCCCGCATATCAGTCTTGACGACGTTGACTTTTCCGCCCCAGAGCATGTGGTTCTGACGCAAGAGGTAAACATAGGCGTTTGGATTCTTTTCTACGGCCCAAATTTCCACTTTCACGCCGGTGTACTCTGCCGCCTTCAAGGCGCGCGTAACCAAGGGTCCTCTTCCAGACCCGGCTACTGCGATGACAACGACACCTTCCTTAGAGGTAGGCAGGTCGAGTTCTTTCCATTCGGACAGTGCTTCAATGACAGCTGCTTCATACTGGTCGTACTTTACCGGGTCTCCTTCGAATACTTCGTACGTAGCTGATTCCAAGTTATCTGATAACGGTTGAAGTGGAGATTGCAACCAATCCTGAAAACTTGTCAAAGTTGGTGACTCCAGAGCCGTCAAAGAAGGTTGTTGAGACTCCAGCCATTGCAAGTATGCCATGTGTGCGTCGACACCTGGGCGGCTGTTTTGGTTGGTCGACATGCCAGCAGCGTGTGCTAGGCTGGGGAAGTCGTCGTCTGTCATTTCTGGCCTGTTGGCTACCGAAAGGATTGATGGATCATCCGCCTTGAACTTTGATGCGTCAGGGCCAACGTCGCACAGCAGAATCCAGGGTGCGGCCTTTAGTTTCATGTAGCTAAAGATCATTTCCTGGTGGTGCCTTGACAGAGACGGAAAGCCACTTTTGTTCTTTTGGAAGACTTCTGGACCGATGGTCAAATAGTGCAGGGGCTCCGCAAACCATCTTGTTTGCAAGTCTTTCTCGGGCATCATTCTGGGAACTTGGAGAGCTAGATTGGCACCATTAGCCATGGTGCTATTCGCATTGGCTCACAAGATGGCTGTTTAACATACCCACAAATAATCGGAGGTTATAATTGCAGATTGATCGAACATGGTGCCAAGAAGCCCACGCCGCGAAAAGATCAATCTCCTTGCTTCCCGGTGGTGCAGGTGTTTTCTCCTGAAGTGACGACAGAGTCTCAGTCTCCTGGTCAGTTGTCGGTTCTCGGTACATTGGCATGTGGACCAAAATTGTCAGCGCACTGCCAATGGTAAGGGCCTCCTGCACAGCACGAGAGTACTGTGCCAAGGCCTGGTTTCCACCATTTTGGGAGGCATCGCGAGATGGTCCAGCGATGATGATACTCCTCACACCGCAGAAGTTGGCATAGTTGATCTCGAGGTTCAGCACTTGTCGCGAGATACTAGCAATCAATGGATTGTTTGAGCACAAGTCGATCCATGGGCTGATATAAGCTGTATACGTGTTGACAGTAGGCGAGGGAAACAAACCAGTATCGTCTGGTGTCAGAGGTGGGATAATCGGGTCGGCGCGTGACCCTGTCAGCGTGCTCGTCGACTCTTCGTTGTTGTCCGCCAACAATATCAGATGGTCGGAAACTATTTTGAAAACCCTAGACCTGAAGTGATCATTTGTGACTGGTGTGGTAGCAAAATTGATCTTTTCCAATTGTCAGCAAAGATAGATTGCCACGATGGCAGAATCTGTCACACTTACACCTTGATTAAGCATGTATCCATATTGCAAGTCCGTCAGTGGCACAACTCTCTTGGAATCATGCCGTCCAATGTGAAAAGGCGGTGCCTGAGCTTTGAAAGAGTCCGACATTGTCATGTCAGCTGCTCCAAATGACATCCTGCGGATTGAGGCCACCAAGCTCAGGCTTCACATAAAGGGAGGCTCTCAATCAATTGAATCGCCAACCTGTCGAGTGCCGAGTCTTCCAACCTTCTGCCTTTGGGACCGCCCGATTTTGAAGAGCACCCTAGGGAGGTCTATTTACCTGCCCTCGTGAGATGCAGGATCAACAGGCAGTTGTTAGAAGTGGGCGGTTGAGGGCACATAACAGACAGCATGCCACTTTTTCATGAGATTGCCTGCGCTTACGCACAGTGTGCGCCGCACATACGGCTCAAGAGAGTGCTGGTGAGACTACCATGATTTTCCAAGCTGTCTCAAAACAATTCAAGCAGCAAGCTCCTAAATTTCTCAGGGGGGTGCTATTTTGAAGATGCAACTTGTGGTTTTTACCAACACTAGGTACGAAAAGATGTCTTTGGCTCACACCGCTACAGTGCGAAGGCACCATGTCCAAGCTTCATGCACTGTAGCTTGCACCAGGGTCCTTATCGATAAGATTCTACTTCTTGTCCCGCCAAAATTTTCGAGACTAAACAAACCACTTTTTAACGTCCTCAGCCTTGGCCGGCCGCTCCACAGACCAACATCGTTGTCAAAATGTCCGATTTCAGCGAACCTAAGGCTACTAAACGGGCAAGCGCCGATATCGACGAGACTTCTAGGAAAAAGTCCAAGAAAGGCGATCGCGAGGGCACCTACAACCCGTATCTCGCCCACATGGACCAGGAGAGCAATGGCTATCGCGGGGATGAAGCACCGCCAGGTTCGGCCTTGGAAGGCATGAAGCGTCGCCAAACCACTGCTGCCCAGGCTTCCAAGGCGGAAGATTCTGCCATCAACCCTTTTACGGGAAAACCCCATTCTCAGCAATACTTCAGGATTCTCGAAACTCGCCGGGATTTGCCAGTCCACAAGCAAAGGTACGAGATCCTTCTCCAATCCATTCAACTTCCTTCTTTCATACACGCATGGTCTCTAACCTCATTACCTTAGACAAGAATTTCTCGAAAAATACCAATCGACTCAAATTCTCGTGTTTGTTGGTGAGACTGGTTCTGGCAAAACAACTCAGATCCCCCAATACGTTGTATACGACGAGTTACCCAAGGTCACCGGCAAGCTCATTGCTTGTACCCAGCCTCGTCGAGTGGCCGCCACGTCCGTCGCACAGCGTGTCGCCGACGAAATGGACGTCACCCTCGGCGAGGAAGTCGGTTACAGTGTCCGTTTTGATGACTGCTCGAGCTCCAAAACTATGCTCAAGTACATGACGGACGGTATGCTTCTGCGTGAAGCGATGCACGACCACGACATGTCTCGCTACAGCTGCATCATTCTCGACGAAGCCCACGAGCGTACTCTTGCCACCGATATTCTCATGGCCCTGCTGAAGCAGATCGCCAGCCGTCGACCGGACCTGAAGATTATTGTCATGTCTGCCACGCTTGATGCGCAGAAGTTCCAGAAATACTTCAATGACGCTCCCCTGCTGGCCGTCCCCGGTAGGACGCACCCCGTCGAGATTTTCTACACGCCCGAGCCGGAGAAGGACTACGTCGAGGCTGCCATTCGAACCGTCTTACAAATCCATGCGTCCGAAGGCGATGGCGATATTCTCCTCTTCTTAACCGGTGAAGATGAAATTGAAGATGCCTGTCGCAAAATCAGCCTGGAAGCCGACGAATTACAAAGAGAGGTGGACGCGGGGCCTCTTGTCGTATACCCATTGTACGGGACCCTGCCGCCTCATCAGCAACAGAAGATCTTCGAGAAGGCCCCGCCGCCTTTGAGAAAGGGCGGCCGTCCCGGTCGCAAGGTCATCGTGTCTACCAACATTGCAGAAACCTCGCTTACCATTGACGGCATTGTATACGTCGTAGACCCTGGTTTCAGCAAACAAAAGATTTACAACCCTCGTATTCGAGTCGAGTCTCTCCTCGTGTCGCCCATCTCCAAAGCCTCAGCACAACAGCGAGCTGGTCGTGCTGGTCGTACCAAGCCTGGAAAGTGCTTCAGATTATATACGGAACAGGCGTTCAAGAAGGAGCTCATACAGCAGACGTACCCTGAAATTCTGCGATCCAACTTGGCCAACACGGTCCTGGAACTGAAGAAGCTCGGTGTCGAAGATTTGGTTCACTTTGATCTTATGGATCCCCCTGCGCCAGAGACAATGATGAGAGCCCTCGAGGAACTTAACTATCTCGCATGTCTGGACGACGATGGCGAACTCACCACGCTGGGCAGCCTGGCATCAGAGTTCCCTTTGGATCCTTCGCTGGCAGTCATGTTGATTTCCTCCCCCGAGTTCTTCTGCTCCAACGAGATCCTCAGCATCACCTCTCTTCTGTCCGTGCCTCAGGTCTTTATCCGGCCCGCCAACAACCGGAAACGCGCAGACGAGATGAAGTCGCACTTTAGCCATCCGGACGGCGACCACCTGACGCTGCTCAACGCCTACCACGCCTTCAGGGGCCAGGCTACTTCTGACCCAGACAGCCTCAAGCAATGGTGTCACGAGCACTTCCTCTCCTTCCGCCACCTGAGCAGTGCAGACAGCGTCCGGGCCCAACTCAAGCGCATAATGGAGACGCACGGCTTGGAGCTCGTCTCGACGCCATTCGAGGACAAGAACTACTACACTAATATTCGGAGAGCGCTGCTGGCCGGCTTCTTCATGCAGGTCGCCATGAAGGAGAGCTCGGGCAAAGTCTACCGCACTGTCAAGGATGACCAGGCCGTCTTGATCCATCCATCTACCGTGCTACGCACGGAGTTTGACTGGGTCCTCTATAACGAATTTGTGCTCACGTCGAAGCAATACATCCGTACGTGTACGGGCATCAGACCAGAATGGCTACTCGTAAGTGACAACCTTGACCCCCGCGTGTTGGTTTTCAAAATCTGTCCTCTGGCTTTTCCCTGTTGTCTGTCTTCTCCCTGGTCCTTGATTTTTTTTTCAAAATGCCACGCCCCCCTCGAGAATACCGTTTGTCACCATACTTACCAAACGTCATTGTGACAGGAAATTGCCCCGGTCTACTACGATCTCGATACCTTTGAGCAGGGAGACATCAAGAGATCGCTAGCCAGAGCGGCCGAGAAGAAGCGGAGAAAGGAGGCAATGAAAGCTGGGCGATGATGACTCGACAAGAGGCTGATACAGCCCAACGATAATTTCCTTATCCACATCAAGCGTCATTTCACCATGCAGAAGAATCAAAATCTTTGCCCAGGCCAGACCATACATGCATCGGAATGTCCGGTCTTTTGAGGGAACCCTGTAAACCGGGGAACCGTGGCATATGCAAAAGGTGCAACCGAATTCCTTTTCAGAGACCGAGAAAAAGATTTTTGAAGAGGGTGTTTCATCTAGCGAACGATTACTCGTCGATTTGAGAAGCTAGGGAGGAGATAGATAGCATCCGGTAAGACGGCGAGACACTGCGCATAGAAAATGTGCCTGGAACAAGGCGGTAGAAATAGAGCCGTGGCAGAAAAACATGCACTTCATTCTTGCTTCCGAGAAGGAAAAAAAGAAAAAACAACCCGAGACCAAAAAGCCACACATATTGAATTGTCCGAATCACCTATCGTTGATGATGGTGGCTATTAGCTCACTGTGTTGAGCAAGGGTGCTTCTCCCCACAAGTCAACCAGCCGGATCGAGCCGTATGTAATGCCATGTAGGAGACGTTCAGCTCTCGTTGCTATGTGACGCCAGGTATTGGACATGCAACTCTTGTCACACGTTGAAAACAGCGTCGACAGGCTTGGCAGAAGTTGGTTGTTTTGGCTCCTTTGGGACGAAGTATTCATACGGAAGTGGCGCAAGTTGTAATCTGCACTTTGTACCCCGTAATGAAGCATCGCATTGCACCGCGTCACATTGTGAAGTTGTGCGCTCTACCCAACACCGGGCACTTGGAGCCTTCAGCTGCCACCCTGTGTGCCGGCCGGCGTCTATTGTGCTGTCGTTGCGGGGCCTTTTTTTTCTTTTGTTTGTGCATCCTTGTTTCTCTATTTCTCCGTTTCTGGCAGCTCGCCTCGACATATTTGGCGATCGAGGTTGCATGCAGCCTGGTAGTACTTGGTCGCACATGTCGCAGATTAGATGCCCAACGTTAACAAACGCCACCAATGAGCGCTAGTATAAGGCGAACCATGATCGCCCGTGAGCTGCATATTGGCCGATGACATCAGAATACAGATAGAAAGAGAGCGGGAGAGAGACCAGAAACCAGAGAAACGAAACCGCACAGAGTTAAGCAGCTCGCTTTAACACGTCGGCAAAGCAGTGGCCTTTGCTACTCCGCGTAGTTACCGCGTCGATGCCACTGGCACCGGGCTTGATTTTGCCCCTTGGCCGGTGGTCAGCTACCAAACATGGAGACAAACACCAAAAAGGTACGGAGTGCAATGAGACACTAACGGTCCGGCTCGAGTGCCGGAACGAGCTTCCGTCGCGGCGGCCATGAAGGAGGGTGGAGCCTCATGTATGGGGATTCTTCCGCGGGAAGGTCCAGATGTCGACAGAAGCACGAGCAGACACAATACTAGTTGCCTGGACAGAGGGGTAATGCTATCCGGTCTACGGAACGTGTGCCGACTATTATATAGATAGTGCAGGGCACCAGGGCCGGCAATTATAACAACAACGACGATGTGTCAGAAACCGTGCTATCTCAAGTCCATGGTGTGTGGCTTGTTAATATCGCTCGTGGTCGCAGGAGTATCAATTGATCTGTAATCAGCGGCCCGGGTCAGTGCGAGATTTGGTTGATGAGGGTGGCAAGCCCCAGACAAAAGGATCAAACGAACCAGAGAGCAGAGGCAAGGACAAAGAGAAAGGAAAAGGTCTGTAGAGGTTACTGCGCCAATGGCATTTTGTTCCTTCATTTACCGACAAATCTCTCAGTTTTGAACAACGACCCATTCGGAATGGGGCCAACAGCTTTCGACGCAACCAGGCC